ATTGCTTTTTTAAATAAGTTATATTAAAGATATTATTGTCTGAAGAATTTAAAATTTTTCCAAAAATTTTTTATTTTTTTTTTTTTTTTTTTTTTTTTTTTTTTTTAAAAAATTTAAAATCTAAAATTTAAAATGAATTTTACAAAAAATTTCCTGGATATGATTTAATTTCAGTTAAAATGGAATTTAAAAATCTTTCAAAATTGAAAAAATATACTTGTCTGAAAATATTTACACTATTCTATTCTTGAAATAATTTTTAATTTTTTTACTTAATTTGTTATTTTTTCATTTAGTTTAAAATATCAGAAAAAGGTCATGTGATTTTTTTTTAACTCTTTACAGAGAAATTAATTTAAGAAAATTTTATAGTATTTTAAGTTTTATTTATTTTTGCATAAATTTTTTCAAATTTTTTAAATATTTCAATAAATTATTAGATAATTACGGAAAATATCTTCATTTGCAAAAAAATTACCAAGAAGTTAAAAACCAAAAAAATGTGTTCACTTTGATTTAATAAATTTTATGTCAGTTCTAGTTATCCATACTAGTTGTCATGGGCATTGTAACTCAATCATCCATCAAACATCTTGTCACTAAACAATGAACTTTAACAGCAAATGGTTGTATATTAACAGACAAACCAAAACAAATAAAAAAAAAATTTTAAATCAAATTTAGCTTTTAAATTTTGAAAAATTTACTGAAAAATGTCAATATATATATATATATATATATTATATAGTTTTAAATTCAATATATAAGAGTTTTAAATTCAATTAATTTGTTTGTTTTCTTAAAATTAAGAAAATGGACTTTTTATAAAAATTTTAAATCGAAATTAAATTTGACATTCCAATTTATATAATTTCTATCTGAAATACATCAGAATATTTTACTTACTGAGAAATAATAAATTTTATCATTTATTTTCTATTAACTCTAAATGAAATATTTCAGAAATTTTTTTTTCAAAAAAAAAATTCATTTTAAACCTTAGGTATTAAAAATTCATGCTGAAAAATACTCAATAGATAACAGATTTTAGGAAATCTAAGTTTTTTTTTTTTTTTTTTTTTTTTTTTTTTTTAAACCTAGTATTTTTTAGAAATTAACATTTTTGTCAATTATCTAATATTTTATTGACTTTTAGTTATGTTTGAGGATGCTTTATTAGGCTAATCCATGAAAGATAAAAAAAGAGCATAGCTTGATAAAAAAAACAAACTTTTTTTCATCTAAATGTTCATGTTTGAAAAGGAAAGATCAAAAACCAAAAACACATTTTTTTAATCGTTATTGAGCACGGAAAATTTACTTTAAATTTTTTTTTTTTTTTTTGAGTCAGCAAAATTGACAATCATGTCATCCATATTTTTCCCATTTTATAAAAAAAGATGAAAATCTCAGTTTGAAATTCTTTTTAAAAATCAATTATTATTTTTTCAAAACTTAAGAAAATCAGAAATTATAATGTTTATTTAAAATATTTTGAACAAACTTAACTTAATCTTCTGTGCCAAAAGGATGTAATTTGAAAATAAAACAAAGCAGGTCATAAACTTTCACGTCACTTGACAGGTGATGAATGATGTATTAATGGATTAAAATCATCATTTGTTCCATGGAAGCCAAAAAGTGAAGTTGCAGGCCTATTTAAGTGAACAAATTATTTACCTCGTTATTTTTAATAATGCCTCAGCTTTTTTTTTTTTTTTTTTTTTTACTTCATTCTTTCAATTTACGATGCTTTATGGGAAATATATTATAAAAGAAATTAAAAAGACTGTTAAGAAAGAGATTAAATTTCATATAACAAAAGGTATCTAATTAGGCTTGTCAAAAGGTAATTTCTTGAAAAAAAATAAAATTTTAAAGAAAAAAAGGTCCCCAAATGATAAAAAATTTTTAACATGTAAATTTTTATGTTAAAATTAATAAGGGATAACCAAAATTAATTTTTGAATATTTTTAAAAGTTTTTTAAATCCTTCCTATAAATTTTTACAAAATTTTCCAAAAAAATTCGTTTTTCTTGAATAAAAAAAAAATTAAAATTTTGATTTATCGGACATTTCTGCTGACCAGTTTGTAAACAAAAAAATCAAACTTAGTTCAAAAATCAATTAAAACTTATTAAAAAATCATTACACCTTTTTTTTTGTTATCTTAGGAAATTTAGAATGATTAATTTTTTACTTAATGTAATTTTAAAGAAACATTAATATTTTTAGCAGAAAATTTTTAATAGAGATATTTCCAATTAAGGTCTTCCCATATAATGATTGAAGGGTGTTAATTGATGGCTGTCAAAATATTGACAACAAATTGAATAAAATCGTACGGTAGCACAGAAGTGATATAATTTATGTTAATTTTAAAGAACCTGGTTAGAAAATAAAAAAAAATTCACTTTCAAATTTTTTTTTTTTTTTTTTTTTTTTTAAATTTGGGGAAAATTTTTGCACTGAAAATAACATTTAAATTATGGAAAAAAAAAAAATTTACAAAAAAAAATTACAAATAAAACAGTAATTTTTTTTTTTTAAATTGATTTTTATAACTTGTCATGAAATATTTTTCTGAGAATATAAAATTACATGAAACATTTAAATTTTTAATTGAAACAGGTTAACTTAATGAAATGAGATTTTATTTCTTTTTATTAAGGTAAGATTTTTTTCATTTATTAATACTTTTGATATGAAAATTTTTTTAATGGAGATTTTTACATATTTTATTTATTAATAACATTGAAATGCTATGCAATCGATTTCAAACTTGAAAATTTGGTGCACTTAGGGGATTTTTTTATTTATTTATTTATTTATTTTTTTTTTTTTTTGTAATTGTAAATGATCAAAATTTGGTTTAGTAAATAAAAAAAAATTTCATTTAGCTGTTTTTTTTTTGCTACCACTCTGGGTTTGAGGAATTGGGAACAACAGCAAAAATAAGGTAGTTTATTTTTAGTATCCTTATGGAAAAATTTCAATTTTTACAAGTTTCAAAAAGTTAAAACTAAAAAACAAAACAACATTCACTATAAAAACAGTAAATAAAACAAAGTAAAGAATATACAGTGAAAAAACAAAAATAAAAAACCTTAAATTCTTGTCCCCTAAAAACCCTTTCGCCGTTTCCGTAAAAAAAAAAAATGAATAAAACAAAATTTTCTTTTGAAATAATATTTTGCAGTTTGTTTCACACTGAAAAATTAAAAATTGATTATATTTAAAAACTGAAAAGAAAAAGGAACAAATTTTATATTTTAAAAAAAAAAAATTTGAAAAATGCGACGATATTCAGTCAAAAAAACTTGACTTGTGTTGTCAACAGAATGAATGCGAAGTAATTTTTAAGTAAAAAAACTTGCTTCTATCAAGAGAAACAACTCTGCCTCACGACGTTATTTCAAAGCTGTGCATCCATACTTTCGTTGGAGACGATTTTAAATACAATTTTGGAATATTAAAAATTATTTTAAAAATATCAATGGTTGTCAGATTTTAATAAGCTTTCAAATTTATGATCTTTAAAAAGTAGAGAACAAAATATGTCATTTCCATGAGGTTAAATAAAGAAACTTAATTTTAAAAATATTTTAATATTTTGTGAAATTTGTCATTTTGTATTTAAAAAAGAAAAAATTATTGTAAAAATTCATTTTTCTTCAAAATTTTTTTTTTTTTTCAGATAAGAATTACCTTAGTATATGTTATTCAGAAAAGTCATAACGCTTTTTTTTTTAATTAAATATTGTCTTAGTTTTATTGGGTTTTGTATTTTTACAATTGAGGTAAAAGTTTGGACAATTCAAGTCATTTTTTTACAAAAAAAAAATCGATGATTTAGAATCTTCAGAGTCTTGTGCATTTAATAAAAAAAAAAATCAAGATGAAAAAATAAATTTTTGAAGTTTTCATAAAATTAAGTTTTGAGGGTGTAACATATATATAAAAAAAAAATATTTATACTATGACTTTCAAAAAGACAAACATTTCTAAAATAATTTCATTCATTTGTGAATAAGTTCTGAAAGTTTCATTAAAATACAACAAGTACTTGATTTTTGCAAGATTTTCCAAATCAATTTGTTTTTTCCAACTGAAAACAGTGAAAAAAAAAGTAATGCTAATTTAACCTAATTTTGACCTAAAAAAAAAAAAAAAAAAGATTTTCAACCTAAATTTAAAACATGCTGCAAATGAAAAAAAAATTTTTTTAAAATAATTGAAAAATACCTTGGTCTTTAATCTTAACAAACTTTTTCACGATAAAATTTTGTTTTTATTAAGTTTGGGGGCCTTTTTTCTTCATGCTATGCGTTTTTGGGCGACAAAAGGGACAGACCTAAATGTCGTTTTCTTTTTCGAATTTTTGCAGGTTTAAAAATAAAATAAATTACAATGACAAGAAAAAGAAAACAACTAAAAAACGTAACCTAAAAAAAATTATTTGGCTTTCTTCAAAATTAAGAATTTCTTGGCGAAAAATTAAAAAAAAAAACCCAAACAAAACAGACAAACGTTTCAATAATGTATAATACATTCTCCCAAATTGGCCAACAACACCATCCTATGCACACCTCGGCAAGAGTTGACAATTATCCCTAATAAATGGGTGTCCCATGCATGTGGTCTTGAGCCAAACTAAGCAAAGTAAGTAAGCCTTGACTACACGGTCCTTGAGGGAGACAGCGACTTGAAAGAGTTGACTAAAAACGAAGTTAAGGATCAGAAAGCTAAGCCTAACTGACTAATAATAGTGATACAGTCTCCTCACAATATTTTCAACTTTTGACAAGTACATATACATCACCTCATTGAATAATTGGATCAACATACTTGAACTACTACTTTATCTACTGCTAAGTGTAAGAAGGTTGAAAATTCCTTTATTGATGGCAGATCTAGTGCTTGTGTGAGGTTATTTTATTTATTCTTCGTCACCGTAAATATCAACACTGCGCACAGTTTATTAATTCCATTTAGTTACCTGTTTTTTCTTTTGTTCAAGTTGTCTTCCTCCAGGACCTTGGACCCTGTAAAACAGTAGTCAAGCCGTGAATAAAAAGACCCGAAAATATTTTACAAGTTTAGATTTTTCAAGAAAATAAATGTGGACTGTGAAGTAATAATTTGTACATTAACTTTTCAATTTTTTAATCTCTCCACGTAATCAACTCTATAACAATAGAACTCAACTTTATTGTAAACTAAAAACAAACTTTTGTGTAACAAGTAATAAATTTTATGAAGCAACCCGTAAAATATTTTTGAAATTATTGAACACAAGTAGAGTACGTATTTCTCCATTTCTAAACTCTATCACTACCATCTGAGAAGATAAAATGTAAAAGAAAAAATAATCTTACCTCAATTTAACTTTTGTTTTTACACAACTGCATTTAGAAAAATAAATGATCCTATACACCAAATACAGTAAAAAAAATGTAAATTGCTTTTTAACAAAGCTGGGCGAAAAAGAACAAACGGTGAAAACTCGTAACTTGTTCCTTTTGTATAAATATTCCACGGGTTTGAAGGGTTAACTAAAATTCACGTTTTCTTTAATCGTAATAGCTTTCTTACAGAAAACGTGAATTTTAGCTACATTTCGGACCACAGAACTGTTAAAGTCGCTGAGAATATTAAGAAGAGCTTTGGCGATCTAAGGAGACTGTCATTTGGTTTCAAAATTGAACAAAGAACTAGTGATCTAATTTTATTAACTGAAGCATTGTTGACATCTTTTTATTTGCTTTTTTTTGCAACTTTATTCAGGCCGTCAATCTTTCCATCATTTGGATATTTACTTCGCTTAGTCTTATACAGAGCAACAATGCAGTGTGATAATCCCACCTTGTTAACAATGTACTTCCCTTAAGGTGGCAATAAGCGGTAAGGGTAAAGACATCATAAAAACAGTATTTTTTCTCTCTCACTACTATGTTGCGGTAGCGACAACTGAGACTCATCCGTGAGGAGATTTCTTTTCCCCAGACCCAACAACTTGGTGCACACACTACAGATAATCCTACCAATGTTTTTTCCTCAGAAATAATCCTACAAATGAAATTTTTTTTTTCCTTAAAAAAAATGTCTAGTCTACATAAATTTTAACAAAACAAAAAGAATTTATTATAAATTTGCACGTAGGGCTTAGGCAAGAAAAAAAAAGTTGTTAAAACTGTAGTTGTATTTTGAAGAGGAAATGTCCATATTAATTTATTAAATGATCTAACACAAAATAATATTTAAAAATGTTTTCAAAGCAAAAGGATTCATTGCTCATCAGAAGGGATAATGCAGACGTATAAAAATACAATTAAAACCCGAATATAAGAGAGTTGTAATTTTATATCCGGGTTTGGTCTATTTTATATACATTTAACTAACAGGCTCTAATTTGAAAACCAGAAAATTTATATCCGGGTTAAATAAAAAAAAAAATTGCTTTTTGGATTGTGAGATGTCCTCATTGAAATATAATATATGATAATATAATAGGCGAGTTATTTTACACTGCCGAGTACTTCAATGCCGGTCGCATGAAAATTTACAACGTAACTACAAAGCAATCTTTATCGATTTATAAAGAGAGAAATATGTGAACAATTTTCCTTATAAATTTAATAAAAAATTAGTAAATTGTAAAAAGGTGAACCAACTATAATGAAAACTTTACTTTAATAATGCCCATGTCAAGGTGGCGTAATGGTTAGCAAGCTTGTCTTGCTATCTCAATTAAAAAACTGAGTAGTGAACTCAACCCTCACAGAGGGCTTTCAGCCTTGTGCCACATCTAAGCTGCGCTTTACATCAATGTAATGAAAACTTTTTAGTTTAGTTTATAAAGTTCCTATCGATTGAAAATTAGTCGATCCTAGATCACGATTAGAAAAAACTTGGGAAATTAAGTTAAAAACAAGTAATGTCCGCGATATAAAATATTTTGAGAAGAAAATCTATAATGTCTGGATTTTTTTCGTTGTTGTTCTTATAGTTCAGATATTTTTATAAAATTATGCACAAAAAACTTTTTTCGTAGCTATAGGAAATGATGCAATTTCCCGTCAAAGAAAGTTCGAAAAAAAATCATATCAACTTTTGGCGCAATAAAAAACACAAACGACTACTTTTTGTCATTAGATATTTCCACAAGTTCTTGCGTTGTAAAAAGAAAAGGAAATAAAAACTTCTTTATTTTGTAGCACTCATGTTTAATCGTTTTCTATTAACATTTAGTACCACAATCAATAGCTATAATAAATTTAAAAAATGGAGGCACGGTGAAGTAATGGATAGCGTTATTTTGAGAAAGTGGAGAACCGAGTTCAAATTCCAGTCGAGTTCATTACATTCACTTACGTGGGAAAGGTAGAAAAAGCTATAGATTAAAAATACTAAATAGCGGGACAGACTGTTTCAAACAGTGTCAGAGAACGTCAATTCTGAATTAAAAACCGGGGTGCCTAGTATACGGACCGTGGGTGACCCATACCATAATTTGGGGTCTTCGGTTGTTGATCAAGAGCTTAGAGGGGGGATGGGTGCCGCCAAGCTACCTGAAAGCCAATGATGAGCAGTTGAGGGTTAAAAAAAATTAAAAATATTACATATCTTAATAATTTTGTAAATTTTTAAATCTTTAAAATTATTCTTGTAAACAATAATGCATAGTGTTTAATTTTTATTTTTTGTTGTAAATTCGCACGAACAAAGAAATGTATTGAATCGCGAGGAGTAGTTAAAAATCAAATAAAAGCGCCGTCATAAGAAAAACCGTCCTTTTCAGAGTTTCTTTTTTGCAAACACGAAAGTCCATGTTTGTCATTTTTAAAAATGAGCCATCCTTTCCAGGGTGATTTTTTTTTAAACCACAGTGGTGTTGGTGGTGGGAGCACTTTTTAAATTGTAAATAAAATATGAATCATTTCTTTTTTTTATCCTCCTCTATAGAAGAAAATTGTAAATACGAGAATTTAGAAATTTCCATGAAGAGAACGCAACTTTTTATTGATTGTTGCACGAAAGATTTAAAATAAATGCGACGTTGTGTTGAAAGGAAGAATGAAGAAGACACTTTGGGTCAATGAATTCTTCTCCAAACTTTCGGCTTTGATGCGTCACATTTTTACCAATATTTTTTACACGGGGAACCTATATATTCAATACACCGCTTACTCTCACTGTTTGTTTGGTTTCGTTGTTGTTACTTTTGTTTTCATTATTTAAGTTTGTTTGGTTCCAGTATTTTTATAGTTATAGCAAATTATGGCACACAGACTTAAAACAAAAAAAGCCTTAAGATAAATTAACGCAGAAATAAAAACCGTTGTCTTTTTTGACGATTCATTTTCAAGTGTGTTTTTCTTTAAGGACAAATTAAATCTTAAACTCAAAGTCAAAAAAAAAAAAAGGTAAATACTTTTTTTTTTAATACGTTGAATTTTCGCTTGTTACTTAATTCGATTTTTATGAAGGTAAGTTTTTAAATATTAATGCTTCGCACTTAAATTAGCACCTCCAAGTCAATGCGCATTTTCAACACGTGAAAAAGTTTGCCAAAAATCAGGAATTTATCCGATTTCTTCATTGATATTTTTTTCTGCATTTATTCATTAAATAATAATGAACTGATTTTGAATCTTGTTTTACTTTTGTGGAAGTATATTTTATTTTTAATTAACTCGTGCTAATCAGTACTAGAGAATTTTGTTTAAATGTTCCTAATTTTTACATTTTTATAAAGCTAAGTGTCCGAAGTTGTTACTGTTTATCATCATTAATTTATCGATAAACGTTAGAATCGGGGTGTGGGGGATAAAACAGGGGCCATAATTCTCATGAGCAAAAATGAAACTAAGGTTGCTGATTTATGATTTTTGCTAATTAGAGTTCTTGATGATTATTACACTAACTACAAACAGTTACTCGAAGCAAACAGTAGTAGACTGAATCAGATTTTATAGGAATGTGTGCTACTACTTCACTGAAAAAAATAAAACAAACGGTGGTGATAAAATTGGAAGTCCAGACAAAATAGTTTATAATTGAGATTGATGAAACATTGTAAAAAAAAAAAAAAAACCACGGTCGTGTGCATCATCGATAATGGCTCTTTGGAGGAATTGAAAGAAATTCTGAAGGATTTAAATTACTTTGTAGATTAAATGTGTTCCTGGTAGATCGAGAAGCACTCTAAGCTAAGCAGTTATAAATAATTTACGTATTGAACAAGATTTTACCTACTACGTTTACTTTTTTTACGATCATTATTGATGTTTGGTCCGCTTAATGGACTGAGGGTACAATCACAAAGTTATATAATTCATGAAAATAATTTTGTTGTTTACTTACATTAATGTTTCTTTTTAGTTCATCAAACAATACCAAATAACTGGCTTCATCTAAGCATTTTCAAAAAAAAAAAGAACCAATAAACATCCACACGAATGGGAATATAATTTGAATTGAATTTTCGGCAAAAATCAAAAATGTATAAATATTAAAAATGATATAATAAATTTTAATTCGTGAATTAACCCCGATTCTAGAGAAACTTCTATCAAATGTGAAGAACAACTCATCAAAAATATAGTCCGAAATCATAAGAGAATTGAAGCAAACAAAAATAATTTTTTTTTTAATTTGTTTCCGAAACAAAAAATAACTTACTTTACTTCACATGCTTTATTAGATAAAGCCTGTGTGAGTATATTTTGTTTTCACAATAAAAAAAAATCTGATGTATATTTGAGAAAAATTGACATGTATTTTTATAGGGCGATTTTAAAACTCTTTCCAGGTCGTAATCGTTGCGGAATCGAAAAGTGTAATGAATGTTAATTTTCTGTTTACATTTTTTTTTTTACTAATTTCATGCTGAGAGTATTTTTATCTATTTAATAAAGTTTTTGTTATTAATGTTCAGTTAGGAATACAGTAAATAAAGAAATAACCTTGGAAATATTTCATGGAATAAATAACTTTTGCAATAATAAAAAAGGGACTAAGTGTGTTGAAAATTTTATCATATAATTTCCTGAATTTTGGTCATTTTTTTTAAATTTTTTTGCAGTTTTAAAAAAAAATTCATTAAGGAATACAAATATTTTTTTGAAAATTTTATCATATAAAAAAAAACAAAAATTCAATGAATTTTCAGTTTTTTTTTTTTTAAAATTTTTTTTTTAATTTTTCTGAAAATAATTTAAAAAATTAATGAAATCATAGGTACCTCCACGAGATCGCTAAAAATAAAAGAGCATAGCATGATGAAAAAGACGCCAAACTTGAAAACAAAATTTTATCGTCTAAAAAATGTTTGTGTTATTATTAAGAGGAAAGATCAAAGTATTTGGGGGGGTATTTTTTTACATTTCTTAATCGTTCCTAGCATGTCCGAAATTTTCGTTAAAAATCTTGTTTTTTTTTTTTTGATTCAGCAAAAAAATTGACAGATAATCGATCATGGCCACCATTTTTTCCCATTTTATAAAAAAAAAAAATGAAAATCTCAGTTTGAAATTCTTTTAAAAATCAATTATTTTGTTTTCAAAGCTTATTTTAAGAAAATCAGAAATTATAATATTTATTTAAAATATTTTGAACCAAGCTTAACTTAGCTTCTGCACCGAAAAGATGTAATTTGAAAATAAAACAAAGCAGGTCATAACATTTTGCGTCACTTGACAGGTGATGAATGACATATTGACAGATTCTGTGAGGATAATTTGTTCTACGGAAGGAGAAAAGTGAAATTATTTAGATTTAAGTGAACAAATTATTTACCTCGTTATTTTTAAGGAAAATTTTTCAGCGCTCTTTTTCTTTTTTTTTTTTTTTGTACTTAGCTTTCCTTTTTACGTTTACGATGCTTTATGGAAAATATATTATAAAGAAATTAAAATAAGACTGTTAAGAGTGAGATTAAATTTAATAAGAAAGGTATCTAATTAATTTATAGGTACCT